TACCGGACTCGAACCGAAAATAAAATCGGACACTTTGTACACATGAATGAGTTTCTTCTTTGCCCTAGATAGGGTCAAGGATCTTCAAGGGGTATAGAGGCGAAAGTACTGCACAGAAAATCAAACGATAGCGAAAAACTCCGAATATAAGAGGTTTTTGGACTAGCGATTTATAACCTTAGACGAGGTTACGATGACCAGGAGGATGTTTGGACGAGATTTCACTAGCTGCAAAGCAACATGGGCGTGAGCTAAGGCGTGAACCGGCTGACCCGTTTACAATAAAAGTGCTCCGTTCCGAATGATGTCAGCCTCAACAAGGCTGCTGTATACGCTGCTACATGGGACTTCTAGGGGAGTAGCACAGTTAGCTTTTGAACCCAATATTGCACCTCATCTAGCCGTTTCCCTACCCGATATAGTCTCATGTGGCCTTCTAGAGGACCACGATTTTTAAGATTTTTACCAATAAGAAGTTTCGACTGAGAAGCTAAAGGGTAAAAGAGATTGAGCATGACAGAGTGAAGTTTCCTGTACCGTACTGAAAGTAATACAGAAGTAACTAAACCTGAAAGTCGCACATGATGACACGAGGAAAGACTTCTGTTTCCTTCCATTCATTACCTCGAATGATATTAGAAGTCATCTAAAATAAACAATTCTCTGCAACCTGCAAGTATGTATGTTTGAGAGCACAGACCTCATATCCCCAGTGAAGGTAGTTCTGTCCAAGAAAATGATTGAGAATAATGATTTGCACAATAATATTGGTAACATAGGCGGCTTTTGTTAGAAGGTACAGTAAAGTCGCGTTATATCCGGAGCGTGGCGTGGTGTATTTCTGAAAATTAAGCAGTATAAACAAGTCAGGAATGACCATTTTTCAAATATTTGCCTCACACAATGAAAAAAAGACGAAATTAGCGAAAGATCAATTATAGATGCCTCCTGTGGGCGGAGCCTAGCCCTGCCACCTAACATTAGGGCCTCCGTACTGCCGTCAATTATCCTACTAAATTGAATGCTGCTCTCGTCCCGCCCATTGTGGGTGGGGTTTGGTCCTGCCACTTATTAGCAGTTTCCCCTAACTGCTACCATAGCGTACATTACCAGAATTGAACGCTCTGAGTCCACAGAAACAGATTAGCGTGTTACATAAGATGGGATTAACAACAAAAGTCTAAAGCAATTGTCCGAATCTGGTAGTTATCGACAATTCCCTGCTATTGTTACAAGTCAGTACTTTCTCCAGGTTTTCCTCTGTTGTGAAGGTATTAGAAAAAAGAAAACGTACATTATTCTCCTTGGTGCCATGTTGAAAGACGGCCACAGTCTCCATAAAGTAGTTAGTCAATGATTCGATTTCCTTATCCCTTTTCTCTCCTACAGCGAACCGGACCTTCTCAGCCTCCTTTAGGAATTCTCTTGGGCTTATTGCTGAAACATTCGTTGAGTAAACTTAATCGTCCCAGCGGAATTGCTGTAGTGACGAACCTGTTTGTTTGTGCAGCATGTTCCAAACCCAGTTCGGTAAAAAGAACATAATAGCCTAAACATAAACAATTTTGCCACAGTACAGTTTCCAAGAAAAAAGGTCTTTTTTGAAGTAGAGAAAAAAGTACCTGTAAGGCCAACATAATTGGTACCCATCGATAATAACTGATATGATCTTTGCGATGCTCGATATCGATCGGAATTTCCTCTTCGAATGGCACATAGTAAGAGTTCGCAATAAAGCAGTAATCTTCAGCGTATTTTTCCCATCCACCTTAAAAATAGAGAAATGCGTAGGTTTTTGAGAACTAATGTTACCGATTTTAGTTATTTTTACTTTAATGATTGCTCCCTGACAACTCATTGTTCGAGATCCGCTAAGTATGCGATCCACTGATCCAGACTATGGCTTGCGATAGGTTTGACCATGAGTTAAAGCATATTTTGGATTAAACTCCACCAAGGGGAACGCTCGTTCCGCGCGTTCGTCGAAACTAGGTCACCCCACCCATTTCGCGCGCGGCGCAGCCCAATGTCATCTCGAGATTACATTACAGTGCCACTGTCAGTGTAGCGAATGATTCCCACTGTTCCCATGGTCTCATGTAAGTTATGTCTCTTGAAGCAGCTACTTCCGTGGACCAAGCGCAAATCGTATGCCTCACTGTCAGCCGCGACGTCGTCAAGGATCGCGGGCTGACGCGCCGCGTGCGACGGCTGCGGCGTGACCTAGTTTCGGCGAACGCGCGGGACGAAGCGCACCCCTCTTGGTTTAACCTGTTCATAACACAATGTTTTCTCGTCTATACTCATCCTAAGCCTAAGCCTAGACCTAAACATTCCGCGAGAAAATACGAACGTAACAGGCAGGCAGTTTATAATTGCTCAACACCAACTGCAAGGCCTCATCTTTTTCTATTTTGGGAAAAAGGTCTTCACTAATGGCAGTGGCATCGTTGTAAGCCACCACGCTAATGACTGATTGTATTCTCAAACATTTTTGTGAAGGCTGGATGTGACAAATGAAACCACGGAACTGCGGAAGCACTTTCAAAAGTTGGTATACACATAAAGGAAAAACTAGTTTCTGCCATAACGCACAGGATTTCATTCACAATATAAAAGAGCCTCATGCCCGAAGACTCTGGCCCTCACAACTCAAACACTTATTGAATTTCAGCTATAAAAACTGTCGCTTGTTGCTCAGCAACTCTGAAGTGTAGCTTCAGTAACACTCAGGAGTTAAGGGAAATAATAGGACTCAAAAGGACTCAAAGGTGGACCCAATGATCAACGACTAATTTACTAACTACAAATTTTTCAGATGTATTTGCTATCAGAAAACTTAACGGCGAATGCGTGGGCGCATCTTTCAGACGGGATTGATCAATGTTCCAAGACTTTATCTCTATCCTTAATACTTTATCCTTTAAAATGTAGTTAACACTCGTGCACTGAATAAAAAAACTAACCTCTGAACTCGCTAGGTACCCAGCATTGTATCGGTGATCCAAAATATTGTTTTGCGGAAATAGCCAAAGCAAAGAAAGCGAACATAGTTGACGTTACATAGTAATTTAGATAATCTACGGAGTCGGCAACCTCAAAGAAGATCAATCATTTTTAGTGACTTCACAGGGTATGTTGACAAACTTGTACCTTTTGCCTTTTGACGGTGGATTGGATGAATTTTGTTAGGAAAGGGATGTTAAGCATGGTTCCTAAGAGGAATCACACTTCGACACACCTGAAGAAAAAGGGATTCTTTTTTGATATAGTTAATAAACGATGTGAATACAATGATATCAGGAATAGGCAAGACGTATTGATTCGAGGGGTGTGGTGCAGTAGGAACGAAATTGTCGCGTCGCTGCAAGAGAAGGGCCGCGCGCGAAGGAATCTAGCAGATGCAACAGCAAGTAAGAAATTAAGGACTAAAAGAACTAACAGTAGAATCATGTCATAAATAATAATCGCATAGTGATTGAGCTGTATGAAGAACACTAGAACTGTTATAACGAGGCAAATGGTCTGCGACAGCCGCGTGCGGCGGATCGATTACACAAAACCGTTTGTACTGAACGTCTCCCTTGATTCGAGTAATAATTCTTTTGTGTCTATCAAAGGTGAACCCATCAAACGACATGAACTTAATTCCTGGCTTGGAGTTCCTACATGGGCGTGTTACTCCTCGTGCCAAGGAAATGCGCATCAATTGGCCTGAACGCTTTTCTCCTCCAAACTTCTCAACTATCTTCTTCCTCCCTCACACATATAGTTACTCGTTAACTGTCGACCTTCGCCAACCATTAGAGGCTGCAGTTCTGCTTTGGTTTCGTTTTTTATTGTTGTTTTCGCTTTTTTATGTAACCTCACCCAGCTCAATCCAAGTTAAAATACCTCATGTCTCGCCTTAACGCTATTGTTCTAGAGCGAGTTCCTCAGGAGCTAAGAGAGTAAAAAAGTGAATAAAGATTATTAGACAGATACTTTTACAGAATCACTTCAGAAAACAAAGAATAAGAGGAAGGGAGGTTCCATAAAAGTCTTTCCAGTTACT